TCATCGTCTGCTCAAAAATTCATGTGTGATTGTCAAAAGGCTTTGAAGTTGACAAGCAAGTTCAAAGATATGGATGAAGAATCTTTGAAGAAGGAGGCGTCAGAGTTGTCAAACCAGCTACAGACGAATCAGAAATGTGTTCTGTATGAAGGATCATATGACGATTGCCAATCTTTGTCGTTGCAATGGGAGTCGTCAGTAGCGTTCACAGTTGTGATCAGGGGGCGAACAACCAGCAAGTCGGAGAACAATAAGCCATGGAGGTGGAGGAGTGGGCACGCAAAGTTAAGTGTCGCAATGGAATTGGTGAATTTCATGAAGCGAATTTGTGCGAATCCTTCTTTGCGGAAGTTGATTCTAGGGATGGCCTTTGAAATGATGAAATTGTCAAGGGAACATCTCCTTTCATCGCGATCTCTTCCTAGTTCTAGTATCAATCAATCCATTTTGGCAAAAGGAATGGCAGCGGTTGAGCTTTTCTGTGCTGAAACCGATGTCAGCATTCGAGTTGGCTCGAGAATCAGGCTGCCGATGATCGGGTCGGCTGGCCGTGTGCCCTCAAGATATGGTATCGTTGTGCGCTGCGACCATTTGCTGGGTATGATGTGTGTACTGCCTGAAGACGTCATCTTCTCGAAATCCTTGCAAAACTGGGTTCCAATTACTCTTCCGATTGTGAGCTCGACCTGTTCTTTCAATCAGAAGAACGATTCCCTCTTTCAGCTCCTCTTGGGAAGCGACCAAAACGAGGCGAAACTGGCCCTCCAGAACATCATGGATATGTTTGCTTGCCTGCGGTTGATGAGAGAGAAGGAGGGCAATGCCGAGAGGTGGTGTAGGTCATTCCAGAGCCGGCTCCTCTCGTCCCTGTCTACCATTTTGAACCAGAATGACGTTGATCACACAGAGCTTCTAGCCAACGGTGTGTTGGACGACCTCATTCACTTTGCTGTGAAGAATATCAACCATCTTGACCCGATCACCCACGAAGTGAAGCGCGCAGGCATCCTTTCTCTGCTGTGCGAAAGCAAGGACAAAGCCCCTTTGACCCTGCTTTCCAACGCCCGAGCTTCGGGTCCCGGAGGAGGTGGAGGGATGGCAGGAAGCGCAGACAGCTCGATGCCTGTCGGTTCGACACCCTCCTCAAATCCCCCAAGATCGCAGCGGATGATCCCAGCGATGGAGTCGTTCATGCGAAATTCTCGAGCTCCCTTGAGGAACGATCAAAGGCGGACAAGGGAACTCGCGGCGGCGAATCTTGCTGAAATCACCGGCAGCCCTCTGAGACTGTGCCAACATGCGCTGGACAGGGAGAACGGAAATCAGGACAGAGCTGCGAACTGGATCTTTGAACATGGCGAGAGCTTCTTGTCTGATCACCCTGAGTATTCAGAGGCTGCAGATGGGGGTGGGGAGGGCGGCAATTTGAATTCCACGACAGATGATTCAGAAGTTCCTTTGTGTTTGCTCTGCGACTGTTACAGTTTCTATGAAGATACCAACCAGAGCGTTGCAATAGAAAGCGAGCTAGGCATCAGCTCAAGCACCTCTGGATTTGGAAGCACTTTCACTGAATTCCCGTCTAGTGTCCTGGATGAGCTGAGGGCTTTCGGAAATAATGACGACCGGATCTACGACGAACGGGCGTACCTCAGCACACCAACTATCACTCTGCTGGGCAGGCCTCGGGGGGGAGGGAGTGTTCTAATCCCGTCTAGCAGTTCTTCCCACAGGGCCCGCGAAGAGAGTCTTCGACCGGGAATGCTCGTTATCTTGTCGGAGCTTGACGTCAGTGATGTTCGTGAAGCCATGTACGGTGTCAATCGGAAGCTGATAGGTCGTTGTATGTTCGTAGATGGAATAGAAAAATCATCTTCAGATGTCAATATGGCTAAGTTGTTATGCTACGATAGCACATCGTCTATAGTTTACTCTGTTGTTGTCCCATCGAGTTGTTTGGATCGCGTTAATAGAAGCTACAGCAATTTCTTGGATTACGAAGCAACTCCTCATGAAATGATGAGATCATTGGCGGACCTGGATCACAAATTATGCAGCATGTATGCAAGGAGTTGTATCCGATTGCTGTTGGCCAACTTTCCAGCAAATTTCTCATTCAGCGAAGCAACTTTTGGAGGCCGATCGTCTCTAATGAACCTGATCAATGCAGCAGCAGTAGGTAGCAGTTTCTTGACTTTGGACAAGTTCCTCATCTTCCCAACCTCTGCCAGAAGGGAGAAGGATGCTTTGACTTTTGCGGACGTCCTTCAGAGGAGGATCGAGATGCTTCTGCAGGGCGAAATGAAAGATTTCGAATCTAACGAGAGCAACGATTCTACGGAGAGGCACATGGGCTCAGAGAGGCAGAAACGTGATCGAGCCGACCTTGGGATGGACAGCGAATGGAAGGAAATGCTGGATTTGCCAGAGGAATCTGATGTTGCGTTGAAGGAAAAGAGAAGGAAGTTGACTTCAAATCCTGTTGGGTACGGCGCCAACTTAAGCCTTACCTACGGTGGTGTGGGTGGAGCAGTATTTCAAAAAGACGGAGAGGACCTTCAATCCAATATCATCGATTTCCTGGTCGACGAGTGCCAGTCCAGCTTGAAGAATGCTCTGGCGACGCTCTCGAGTGTTGAAGAAAGCTCGGAACACCCTTACATCCGCAGCCAGGCAACCGCTGGCTCAGCCGGTGCTCGACATTTTTACATCGAGGGAGTTTCATGGTTGTATGTGGTGTTTGACGCGCGATGTTCTCTGCTGAATCATGAAGCGATGAAGTTTTACAGCGATGCTGCTTGCACTGATTTGATAGCAACTGCGACGTCGGACGATAGGAGGAAGGCATTCATGCCGCTTATCCTCCCGTCACCTGTATGGATGACGCTATCAAGCAGTACTACTTCTAACAGCACCAGCACAGCCCCGACAGAAGACTCGGAACAGAGCTGGGGTTTCAGAGTTCAAGCCCTTGCGATCGGCGAGAAACATCTGTCATCGGCCATCTTACTTTGCAACTTGCTGCTGAATTGTCACACACTGTTGGCAAGGCAACACTTTTACACAATGCTGGAGGGCCTTCTTGACCTGTTGGAGAAGTCATCTGCCATTGCAATCCCTCATTGCCTGCAACTGCACAACATCACGTGCAGGCTGATGCGCCAACTGGGGTCAACGGCTGATTGCAGTCTATCACTTGCTTTGCATTCGGCTTTCTCAAAACTTGTGAGTTCCTTTCCTCCCTCTTTTCGTTTTCTTTTTCCCTGCCTCTTGATTTCCTCCATGACACTTTGTGACATTTCTTCTAGATGCACGAGGCCAATGCAAGGTTCGTGTGGGAGAGCAAGCACTACAGCGGCAAGAGGGGCAGCTCGGAAGATCTGCTGTGCCCTCGATCGACGTACATGTGCTCTCTTGCAGAGCTTCTCGCCACTCGTTCCCTGGTGTTTGAGCCATGCATGACTGCGCATCCTAAGGAGGTAAACCCGTCGTCAAACGCCCCTTGGTTGGACAGTCTAGATCAGACGATGAGGATCGCGGCAAAGCTCTATGATGGGAAGGAAAGCGAGAGAAACTCGTTGATCGATGATGGATACATGATATTTGAAGAAGACAGATCCATCATGATGGAGTGCGACAAGTACGAATCCATGAGCTCGATCTTTGACGAGAGTGGAAACGGCGAGCTGTCAGCACGAGCAGAGGAGGCCTTGAATGAGTTGTTTCAGCTGGAGCCAGATGCAGTTCATCAGGTATGCAGATGTTTGAACCCCGCCCAGCCACGGGCGACGAAGCCAAAGGACTTCTTGAATCAAGCCAAGACTTTAGCAATGCAAGACATCTCAAAGCTGTGGGAGATTTTCTTTTCGTTCCATTTTGATCGGTAACCCTCAATTTCCTGTGCCGAAGTGCCTGACGACAAGGCAGGTATCTGGTGAGATGGGATACTGATAGAGATGCAGAGTTGGTTTCTCTTGTGAACATGCAGAGTGAAGACACTGGAGTCGCGGCTATGAAGATTCCCGCAGCTCAAATCGTGGTCACTGAGTATTACAGGAGGAAGTTGCTTCGTCTCAACTCTGTCCCTCAGCAGTCACTGCAAAGACGATTCATCTTGTTGAAGTTATTTAATCGCCACCTTCACCAGGCAATTGTGCTGGTAGACTTCTCTCATCGTAATGTACAGCTTTCCATTGCCGCGACTATCTGTGAGCTTCAGGTTAATTCTTCCCTTGTTTTCGTCTGTGATCGTATAGCTGACTTCTCCCTTTGTCCTGCAGTATCTGATCTTCTATCAGACCAAGGCTTCTTTCCACAACCTCGTGCTCGACTGGACTGCCTGCCAGTCTAGAAACTCCGATCGGGGACTCCTGGAAGTCTTGATCCACCGACCGGGACGAAGGGCACGAGACTCCAAGGAGAAGGCAGAAGAGCACGAGAGGTGGAGGCTGCAGATCTCGTCCAAGACAGAACCTCACTCGAGGCTCGAAGAATTCCTCGTGGCCCCTTCAGACTTTGGTAGCGCTAGGGAAATGGCAGCGGATCAGCTGGTCAGGGCGAAGCTTGTTTTCACAGATCCCCCTAACGGGTCTATGCCTCTACGGAACAAGGACGAAATCAAAGGCAACATCGCGCTGATCGAACGCGGTGGGGGGCAGTTTGTCAATGTCGTGAGGCGAGCGCAGGAGGCTGGGGCAGTGGCGGTGATCATGGCAGACTCCAAGGAAGGGCCCTTGTTCCTCATGAGCACAGAGCTCGGAAACTCCGGGGACGATGTGGCGATCCCGGCCGTCTTGCTTTCCCTGGCGGACAGCATGCTGCTCATGATGAGGGGAGGGACGCTGGTGGCGACCATCAGCGCCGACGGGGTGCTGATGCAGACTTACAGGCAACTGCGGTACGTGCCTGCTGCAAGGCTCCGGCAACGAGATGAGATGGCGTGGAGGGTGAAGTTCCAAGGGGAGGGGCACCAGGGCTACCAGGGGCCCTACAGGGAAGCTATGTCCGCCCTGTGCACGGACCTGCAGTCTCCTCAACTTCCCCTCTTCATCAAGTGCGCCAATGCTGTCTCTGGCATCGGGGACAACCGTGACAAGTTCGTGCCGAGGCCGTCAGCGAGCAGCCCTGAGCTGCTGGATATGTTCTTCTTCATCGGTCAGCTCATGGGGGTTGCCATGCGGACGCAGAACTTGCTCAGTCTCGACTTCCCTTCTCTTGTCTGGAAGTCGCTGATCGGCATTGAGCTGGACGAGGAGGATCTGAAGGCCACCGACTACTCCTGCTGGAGCTCCTTGCAGTTCCGCGATGAGGACGGGCAAGCGATCGGCGCCAACAAGTTTGAGGAGCTGTTCCAGTACACCTTCATGACCGTTCTCACCGACGGCAAGTGTGTTCCTCTTTTCGAGGGAGGAGAGGAGACGCGCGTGACCTTCGAGAGGCGGCATGAGTACGCGGAGCTGGTGAAGCAAGCACGACTGCGAGAGAGCAAGGAGCAGCTGAGTAAGATGAGGGACGGGCTCTGCTCCATCGTTCCTTCCTCCATGCTCTGCCTCATGACCCACGAAGAGCTCGAGCGGCGCGTCTGCGGGATCCCCGAGATCGACATCGCAACCCTCAAGCGCCACACGCGCTACCGCGGATCCTTCTCTGCGGACTCGCCCCACATCCAGATGTTCTGGGAGGTGCTGGAGGGCTTCAGCCAGGAGGATCGTCGACTCTTCATCCGCTTCGCGTGAGGGTGTAGCGGTTGCTTGCGTTGGTTCCTCACCCGTGCTGGCAGGTGGGGGAGAGAGCGTCTGCCGCTCGAGTCAGACTACTCGGAGCACTCGTCCATGAAACTTTTCCCCTCCGATCGCGGGGACGGTGACTCTGTCCTGCCCGAGGCCGAGACGTGTTTCTTCATCGTGAAGCTTCCCAAGTAGACAAGACCTGCTGTGTCTCCTCCTCGCTGACTCCCTTGCAGGTACAGAACCAAGGAGCTGATGAAGGAAAACCTTCTTGCCGCCATCACTGCCTGCCGAGAGATCAACTACTAAGTAGAAGAGATGATGCCTGTAATGTACAAGACTTATTCATTCACCTTGACGAGAGGCCGCTAGCATTGCAACTAGCATTACAACACAGTAGCATTACAACCGGTGAACAACTAGTGAACAAACAGTCAACAACTAGTGAACAACTGGTGTACAACTAGTGAACAACCAGTGAACAACTAGTGAACAACTAGTGAACAAACAGTCAACAACTAGTGAACTACTGGTGAACTACTGGTGAACTACTGGTGAACAAACAGTGAACTACTGGTGAACAAACAGTGAACTACTGGTGAACTACTGGTGAACTACTGGTGAACTACTGGTGAACTACTGGTGAACAAACAGTGAACAACCAGTGAACAACTAGTGAACTACTGGTGAACAACTTGTGAACAAACAGTGAACTTTTTTGAACAACTTGTGAACAACTTGGACTACTTTGGGACCACCAACAAGTTGCCGAGTCTCGGCGTAAACTCCCAGTCAGGATTCGGTGACGAGTCTGGACGGTTAAAAACCGTTACTGTAACTAGGAGGGGTGCAACGGAATATTGTGCAGGGGTGGTCACCTCAAGGAGGAAACAGTGAATCTGTAAAGGTGGGGTAGTTGATAGTAAATAATGGGGTAGTGTAAATGAAGGGGTCATGATTACACGTTGGGTTGAAGGAATCGAGGGGTGGGGTGGATCCACGAGCGGAGGCCATGCCAAGGAAACAGCAGCGAGGTACCTGAGAGGGAAGAGGAAGAGGAAGAGGAAGAGGGAGGGAGGGAGGAAAGGATGGAAGAGGATTGATGAGGATAGTGTAATGAAGGGAGAGGGCCGGACGGGGCAGGGCTGGGGAGGATTTTTGACGGGGGAAGCAGAGGAAGGGAACAGATGTTATAGGGAGTGATGGTTCAAGGAAAGAAACTAGAGGGGAGGAAGCGTTGGAGCAACATAGAAGAAACTCTGTGACGTCAAGATCGTTCACAGGCAGCGCGCATGCGGGCAAGGGGAAATCGAAGAACCTGGGGTTTGAGGAGGAGGTCACCGCGAACTTGACCGATGTTCTCTGTACTTGGATCCTCCTGGCTGGCATGTCATGCACTGTCATCTGGAGCGAGTTTGCGATTCCTCGCATGTGCTCGAGGTCGTCGGGTGGCAAGGTAAGGAGGAGGAAGAGGAGGGAGAAGGGAGGGGAAGGGAGGGGAAGGGAGGACACAAGAGGGAGGAAGATCAAGCTGATGTATGCGAGCGACACTGATTAACTTGTCTCAGTTCCTCACTTTCAGCTGCGAGGAGGGTGTTGTCTTCTCCTACATCTTCTCCCTCGTCGCCATCACCACCTACTTCCTCCCTCCTCACACCACCAACCCCATGGAGCTGCTCTTCGTTCAGATGCCTGTCAAGCGACGAGCGGTCAAGTTCGTGCTGCAGCTGGGAGCGGCAGCTGTGTTTGCAGCTGCTGTGAAGAGGATTGGGGTATCGCCAGTGGCGGAGGTTCAGTTCGCGGACAAGGTCTATCGCGATGCTCTCCCCAAGATCAACCTCTGCACCCATCCCACCGCCACCTCCTTCCATCGCTCCATCGTCAAGCCGGACGCGTGCGTGCCCGTGTGGCCCTCCCTCTCCTCCTCCGGCTTCTCCATGGGTGCCGTACTCAACGAGGCCCTCCACACTCTCCTCCTCAACCTCGTCGCCAGCTTCGTCTGCCCCCGCGTCGGTTCCTTCCTCCCGTTCGCCGTTGCCACCTGTGTTGTCACCACCATCCGCAGCCCCATTGCCAACACCGGCCCCGCGCTCAATATGGTCCCTGCGGTCGCCTCTGCCTTCCTCCATGGCGGCCTCGACGCCTTGCGCGTTCATCTGCTGGGAACGCTGATCGGGGTGATGGGAGCCTACCTGCTGGAGAAGAGGTCGGGTATCCTCGTCGGCTCCTTCCGCTCCGTCTGGTCCCTGCGGTCACAGCAGGAGAGCAGCGCGAGCAGCGCCATGCAGGAGCTGCTCAAGGAGGAGAAGAGGTGGAGCGAGTCGTTTGCCTGCCCTGACAAAGCTGACGAGGTTGCGACAGGACTCAGCCCTCCAACAAGAAGAAGGTCAAGACTACATAAAGGTCCTTCTCCTCCTGCCCTCCTCGTCTCTCCTCGTATCCACTCCTGCCCTCCTCGTCTCTCCTCGTATCCACTCCTCTTTCCTCGCTCCAGTTCTCACTGTCCTGCTTTCCTCTCTTGCACCACCCAACGCCTCTGCCTTCTCCTCCCACCAGCCCCCCTTGCAGGGCCTAATGCTGCGTTAGTCTTGTCTGTTTCTCTCGCAGTTTCGCTTCCTTGCAACATCCTCGCTTCCTTTCTCCTAGAGACCTTCGGTTCTCCGATTGTCTCGGCGATCGAAAGAGCGAAAAACTCCTTGTTCCCCTTCCCCTGCTCCTGCCCCTGCTCCTGCCCCTGCTCCTGCCCCTGCTCTTCCAGCTAACAAGTGCTGACTGAGCGAACAGGGCGAGGTTGGGAAACAAGGTGGACGGATGGGGAGGAAGAGCTCAATGTTCGTACAGGCAAGACTGAAAATTCGAAGTTGAAGAGGTGGAGGAAGAGATCTTGAGGGGGAAGAGTCCAGGCGGAGGAGGTCAGGGAGGTCAGGGAGGAAGGGTGGCAGTGATGGAAGGGAGGGGAGGTGGGGGGGGGGTCGGAGGTGTGAGCGAGATAGGAGGGAGTTGGGCGGGGATGAAGAAGTTTCAAGGTACACTGATCAGATGTTCTGCTGATTCTCTCCATTTGAAACAATAAACCTGTAGATATCCTTATTGCCTCCTCCTCCTCCTCCTCCTCCTCCTCCTCCTCCTCCTCCTCCTCTTCCTCCTCCTCCTCCTCCTCCACGTTCGGTCCCTCCTCCCTCGCCCTCAGTCCCAGCATCCCTCCTTCCTTACTTACCCGGCCCCACTCCTTCCTGAGAGCGCTTCCCCGATACTCTCACTCCAACTTCTTCCTCCACTCCATCCGTTGCTTCAACCCCTTCCAGTAGTTCCTCCTCGTCCCGTTCTGCTTCTTCACCATCAGCTCCTGCAGCGCTCTCTCCACTCGCTCAGCAAACTGCTCTGCCCGCTCCCCCTTCTGCAGCACCACCGGCTCCCCGATGTGCGCGATGACCTTCACAGGGACGGGGAGGGAGAAGAAGGACAGAGAGAACCAGCACAGGATAGCAAACTGCCACATCAGAAAGTGGATGGGCCCGGGCATGCTGCGCATGACGGCGCCGTAGAGTCTGTCGAGGAGGAGGAAGGACCAGAGGTCGAACAAAGGATTCCATTTCATCTCCTCCGCGTTCTCGCAGAAGTAGGGGATCACTTTGCTCCCTGCCCCCATCTCCTCCGCCACCCGCGCATACCCCAGCCGCTTACCCGAGTTGTGCGACAGCCAGTAGAGCTCGTACGCGTCCTTGCCGCACCCGCTCACATGATGCAGAACGTCCTCCACCCCCCCGGGGCGCAGCAGCAGCAGAAGCCTCTCCTGAGCAGCTCAACCGCCCTCTTCCTCGTCCCTGATACTCCCCCGAAGCGGCGGAGGAGAGGACCCCAGAACATCATCATGGGACGATGAAAGAGCGCCCGGGGGACGCGGCCGAGGGTCTTGCGCATGAGGAAGAGGGAGATAAGGATGTCGACGTTGTGGGAGGTGTGGAAGGAGACGAGGAGGACGGCTTCTCCCTCCTTGATGTTCTCCTCCCCCTCCACGCTGATGTCATGCACTACCTCCGCGTACGTGCAGAAGAGCCAGTAGAAGATCCGGTAGACCCATCCCCGCGCTATCTCGTCCTGCTCCCATGCCGGTCAGCCTGCCACCACCTTGCACCCTCTCACCACCCCCGTCCAATGAACCCCTCCCTGATCCTCCTCCTCCTCCCTGATCCTCCTCCTCCTCCTCCTCCTCCTCCTCCTCCTCCTCCTCCTCCTCCTCCTCCCGCCCTCGCACCTCCTCTTGCTTCGACATGTCGTGCTCGCGTGTTTTTAAAACTAGTTTTCTCATCGTCGTTCAAATCCGATATCCTGGTACAATGTGGAATTCATTTATAATCATAAAACATGGTTTGTACCAAGTTGTTGATGTTCTTAAAAAAGTTATTACTGAATCGTTGCGTTCCAGTTCCCCCCACCATGCGCTAGCGAACGTGGCAGACAAATTTCTTCCCCCGCTCCCCAACTGTGCCGCCCTCGCCTGCTCTTCCCCTCTCCCCCTCTTCCTCCCTCCTCCTCTCCTCTCCCTCCTCTCCCATCTCCCTTCCTGTCTCTCCCCTCCTCCTCTCCTTCCATTCTCACTCCCCTGCTCCTCTGCAACCCACACCCGCCTCCCTCGCTCTTCCGACTCTCGAGTCGCTCACCTTCTACCCCAGCCCCTCCCTCTCTTCTTTGCTTCTCTTCCTACAGCCTTTTCGTTCGAGTTCTTTCTGCCATCCCTAACTCTCCTCCTTCTCCTGCTCTCTCCTTCATCCACGCATCCTATACCCGATCTGCGATGATTTCACAAACCCTCCTTCTCTCGCCTCTGACTCGAGCATCATCGTCCTAAAGGCGCTGTATCTCCTCATCTCTTCTCTCTCCTACTTTCAAGCGCTTCTTCGCCTTCCGCTGCTGTTCTCCTCAACTCCTCCTCTAGCCTCCCATGTCCAAGAACTTGCGCTTGCTCCCCACACAGTTCGGGCACATCACGGAGAGTGGGCAGGAGGAGGGCCGCGGGTGGATAGGAGGCGGATGGAGGAAGGTGAACTCTACGGGCCTGCGAGCAGCAGGGAGTCCAGTAGGAGGCGTCGACCTCGAGGGCCTGGGGGGTGTGGTTGGCACGAGCTTTCTCAGGACGAAAGGAGAGGGTGAGGCGCTGCGGAGGCTGCCGGGGAGGGGGAGGAGAGAGGAGGGAGAAGCTGGATGGTTGGTAGAGAAGGATCAGTTCGTCGTCCAGCCGCAGACAAGGAACAGAAGCGAGCTGGTGTACCAGAGGAGGAGGAGCAACGAGTCGCCGGTGGAGGCAGGGAGGTCAGCAGGAGCTGACTCTTCCCGCTCCTCCTCCACCGACCCCAGGAAGTTCCGTCGACCCCCCGTCAGTCCAGACAGCACGGAGACAGCTGGGAAGTTGAAGAGCGCGGGGAAGCTGCGAGTCATGCCACGACAAAGCAGCCCTACAACCTCCTCCTCCTCCTCCTCCTCCCCCCTCCGCGACCCGCTCACGGACTCATCCCCTGCCTTGACTGGGCAGAAGCTGCTGAGGAAGAACAACAGCCGGAGAGACACGTTTGTGAGGGCGAGGAAGCATTCCTCTCCTGCTCTCAAGAACCTCCCGATCGCCTCGCCCGTCGACTCTCCCCGCACCAACGGGGTCCAGACAGACCGGCCAAGTAACAGGAAAATCTCCAATGTCCTCCCTTCCTCCCTAGCTGAACACGAGCTGGCGACCTTGCTGGATGCTCCTTCCTCCAGCTCTACTGACACGCCCTTGGACACCCACAGCGGAGGGTCGAGCTGTTTGACCGCCGAGACAGATGAGCAGGCGTCTTCCTCGGGGGACAGCGATGGCGAAGTGGATGCGACGGTGGGGAGGAGGAGGAGGAAGGGACGGTCGAGGCCCTTCCCCAAGAAGCTCTGCGTCTTCCTGGGCTACTGCAACAACACTTCCCTCCAGCTCGTGCGCCACGTCATCGCCGCGATGGGCTGGCGGGAGGTGGAGAAGGAGGCGGACGCTCGCTTCATCTGGCTCGATCCCTCGCACGGCAGTCGCGCTGACCTGCTTGCGAGGGCTTGCAGGAAGCAGCGAGTGAACTTCCTGCCGGGCATGAAGGAGATGTGCAACAAGCGCCCGCTCTACCGCCTGCTCAACCGCATGAAGGCGTCGGCGTCGGAGGAAGACTTCTTCTTCTTCCCCAAGACGTGGGTCCTGCCAGAGGACTGGGAGCGGCTAGACGAGGAGCTGAGGCAGAAGAAGCCCAAGACCTTCATCGTGAAGCCTGACGGGGGCGCTCAAGGCACTGGCATCTTCCTCATGCGGACTGGGTACGAGAACAAGCTGCTCAGGAGCGATCGGTACATCGTTCAGCGGTACGTGCACCGGCCGCTGCTGCTGGACGGGTTCAAGTTCGACATGCGACTCTACGTGCTGGTAACCTCCGTTGACCCTCTGCGCTGCTTCCTCCACTCCGACGGGCTCGCGCGGTTCTGCACCAAGAAGTACGTAGCGCCGAGCAAGAAGAACCTGGAGGAGACGATGATGCACCTGACCAACTACTCGCTCAACAAGCACAACTCCGAAGGCTTCATCCGCAACGACGAGGAGGAGGGCAGCAAGCGCTCGCTCTCCGTCATGTGGGAGCAGGTAAGGGCGATGGGTCACGACACGTCCAAGGCATGGGAGAGCATCCGGGAGCTGTGCAGGAGGACGATGCTGACCAAACTCCCTCACCTCTGGTTCCAGTATCACTCCACCGTCACCACCGACACCGGCCCGAGCATGGCGTTCCAGATCATCGGGGTGGACGTGCTGCTGGACCATGAGCTGAGGCCTTGGCTGCTGGAGACCAACAACGGGCCGAGCTTCAACATGGACGAGGAGGTGGACCGAGACATCAAGTGCCGGCTGGTCGAGGAGGCGCTTACGATGGTCAAGACCATCTACAAGCAGCCAGGAGGAGGGGGTGGGGGGGGAGGAGGCAGCGGCGCCCCCGTGACAGAGGAGGAGGTGCTGCAGTCGCGCGAGCGGCGGTGGCAGGCGCATCTCAAGGCGCAGCAGTGGGAGAGGAAGAGCTTGAGAGACTTCCAAGTTCTCTACGACGGGGAGGACGAGGAGCTCGACCTTCTCTTCCCCACCACCCGCCGTGACGTCATCGAGGCCTTCGAGCTCGCGGCCCGCGTGGGGGATCGAGAGCGGCAGGGACTGAGGGGTCTGACGCCCTCCCGGCTCGCGGCAGCTCTGCGGCACCTCAACGTTCTGGACGGGAAGCGTTTGACGCGAGCGGACGTAGACCTTGTCTTCCTCGAGGTGACGGCCGACAAGTCGCGGGATGGCGTTACTCTGGAGCTCTTCGGCCGCGCCCTCAGCTCCCTCGCCCTCCGCCTCTTCCCCGACTGCTCCCGACCTGTCGATGCCGTGACGCGGATGCTGGCAGAGGCGCGGAGATGACGAGGAGCGAAACAAGCTGGTCACTGCTGCTGCTACTCGTCCTCCTGCTCCCTCTCCTTTCTGCTTCATCTCCTGGTATTCCTCATCTCCCATGTTTTCCCGTTTCATAAAATGCAAATTTATCTCCCACTCGTCTACTTCGCAAAGCTGATGCTCCATTCCTCGTTCATTGGCACGTTTGGTTTTCGCACAATCAGCATCTGTTGCATCGTCAGAAACTCTCCCTCATCCAGCCTCTCCCTCCCTCCTCCTGTCCAGCCCCGCTCCTCCCTCCCCAACCCACCCACCCACCCACCCACCACCGCACCTCCTGCATCTCTCCCTCCAACCTTTCCCCCCTCCCTCTCGCTCGTCTCACCGCTGACTCCTTGTCGTAGATGAACTCGAGCTCGCTGCCACCGCCGTTCTTCCGTTTCAGCGTCACCCGCGCCGGCTGCTTCGTGATGCCGTACACGATCACACGCTCGAGAGCAGGAGGAGGGTGCGAGAACTTGAAGCCTGAGCCCTCCGTCTGCCGGTACTCCAGCTGGTTGGACTGAAACTTGAGGCCGAAGAGGAAGAAACCGCCGGCCGTATGCTCGTCTGTGTCTCCATCGTCCAGGTAGAGAGACCCCGACGCCTCCTCCCTGACGTTGAGCGCTACGTGAAGAGTGAAGGGATCTGCTCGCATGGCGCTTGTGGACCTGAGCCAAGGTCAGCTGCCTCCTCCTCCCCCTCCAACTCACCTCCTGGCTCGCTCCCTGGTGGGGATAATGGTTCCTCCTCGCTGGAACACAGGGATGCCCTGCTCTACCCCCGAGTCGACTGAGATCGTCTTGCCGCCCGCCTGCGCTTGTCCTCGCAGGCTGCCTGTCTGCCCGCGGAAGCGGCTCCAGAGGGAGGTGAAGACTCCTTGCTCCTTGGGCGTCTGCCCGTTGCGGAACGGATACCAGATCTGCATGCCAGGGTCAGCGTCAGGGGAGCGCATGAAGAGGAGGGTACGTCGTCCTTGTCGGAGGGGAGGTAGACGTTGGAGCTCCTGGTGTTGGCGGAGACGACAGGTTTGACCAGGAGAGCCTCGCCGAGCATGAACTCGTCGTCCATGGCGATGGTGACCTCGTCGCCCGGGAACTCCATCCAGAGGGGCCGCATGATGGGCAGCCCCTGGGTGTGAGCCATGTGGAAGAGCGTGTAGAGGTAGGGGAGCACGAGGTACCTGGCGCGGATCGCAGCTCGGATCTGGCCCATCACGACATCGCCGAACAGCCATGGCTCCCTGCGCTGAGTGTCGATATGCGCGTGCCCTCGGAAGAAGGGCGTGTAAGCTGCTGCCTGGTACCAGCGGACCAGCAGCTCGGGTTCCGGGTTGCCGAAGAAGCCGCCGACGTCAGCACCGCAGAAATGGATGCCGCCCAAGCTGAGCTGCAGGAGCATCGGGGTAGCCGAGGCCAGATGGTCCCATCTCGCCCCGTTGTCTCCAGTCCAGACGGCAGCGTAACGCTGAGAGCCCGCAAAGAAGGCGCGGGAGAGGATGAAGGGCCTCCGGCCGGGCCTCAGCAGCTTGTGCCCGGCCACAGTCGCCATGGTCATGTAGAAGCCGTAGAGGTTGTGTACGTCGCGGTGCTCCACATTCCCGTAGTGCAGGAGGTCCTTGGGCATGGTGATCTCTGGCCCGTTGAACACTGAGGGCTCGTTCATGTCGTTCCAGGTGTAGAGGTGCTCAGTGCTGCCCACGTAGTTGGCCGGGAGGAACCTGCTAGCCCAGTAGTCCCGAACCTCGGGGTTCAAGTAGTCCAGCCACGAGGACGTGCCGGGCCAGCAGTGTCCCTCGAAGTCTCCGCCGTCCTTGTTCTTGCAGAAGAAGCCCAGACGCTTCGCCTCCGCGTACACCGAGTAGCCCATGTCCACCTTGAGATGGGGGTCAATGATCGTCACCATCTTGCGGCCGCGGGAGGCCAAGTCATGCTGAAGGCCCTCGGGGTCGGGGAAGAGGTGCTTGTCCCAGGTGAGGTAGCGCTTGCCGACCGTGTGCTCGATGTCGAGCCACAGGACGTCGTAGGGGATGTCGTACTCGTCAAACTTGGAGTCCACCATCCTCACGTCAGCATCGTCCTTGTAGTTCCAGCGGCACTGGTGGTACCCGAGTGAGAACATTGGGGGCATGAACTGAGTTCCCACAAGGCTCGCGAACTGCATCTGCACGCCCTTGGGGGTGTCGGAGGAGAGCAGGAAGACGTCGATCACGCCGCTCTCACTGAACCAGTGCGTGCGCTTCATGTCCGGGCCATCCTCCACGTCCACCATCGTTTCAGCCGCGTTCAGCCAGAAGAGAGCAGAGGAGAAGTTGGGGCGATGCGAGTAGAGGATGGGAACTGCGCCGTACAGCGGCTGGTGTGCACGATCGGCAGTCACCTCGTACTCGAACACATCAAGGTTGTACAGGCGGTAGGGCTCATCCCTTGCCGCCCCCTCCCCGCGAGTGTTCCCGAGCATGAGCCGAGATCCACGTTCGGGGAGACCGTAGACGTGCTTGGCACCCATGAAGTCGAAGTCAACACCGATAGATTCCGGGCCGTTAGGCTTGCTGTCCGAATGTCCTTTGAATGATTCCTCCCACAGGCCATCATTTTCACCCGTAATGTCCTCCATTGCACCCTCAGAAGACTTTCGTAGGCCAAAGTAAGACAATATCCCATCGAGGTGAAACAGACTGACCTTGTCCCGGCGCACTTCCCATTTCATCAAATTACGAGAATTCATCACAAAGAGAACCTCTCCCTTGTATGTGAGACGAGCAAGAAAAGGCAACGGGTCGAGCTGAAGGCTTCAGAGTCAACCTTTCGCTAAGATCGCAAAGAGGGAGGGAACTGAAGCGTGAGTTCGTGATCGCCAGAGCGATACTTGGCGACTCCTTCCTCCAATGACAAGTCGCCCTTAACGCTGTGCTGCGAGATGTCCCCAACGAGCACGTCTTTCACTCTATATCTCGGCTTTGCTGAAGACGCTTCATCAATCTCAATACGAAAGATTCCTGTCAGTAAATGAGCTCGTCAGTTGACAGCTTCACTCCAGCAGGAGCATCACCGGACTTGTAGATGGTAGCTCGCAGCTTCAACGGCTGGTTTGGATTCAACGCATTCTTCATCTCCGCGACAACGCCGTTGTCTTCAAGGTGCGCGTTATGCAGCTTGTACGTCGCCCGATCATCCTGTCAGAGACAAGTCAGGAGGAGGTCGATTCATCGCCACGAGCAGCCAACGAACGTGCATGTCAGGGGAACAATCGGTGCTACCTGTCCATCGAACTTCCTTTGTCTCCGGCAGAAGCTGCTGTCCTTGCAGTAGCGGAACTCCTCCTCCTTGAACGCCATGGACAGGGACAGCAACGAGGAGATGGTCGCTGTTGATTCATGTAAGAAGAGAGATAGGAGAGGCGGCGCTATGGCATGTGTAAATGATCTCACCAAAGGCAACGAAGCACGGCACAATCGATGGCCGAAGACCCGATCGTGGTCGTCGGAGTCCCATGGCGACGCTGGTGGTGCTTCCAAGCGCTTTAATCCTTGCTGGTCCGGTAAAACTAGAGAAGACGCGTCATGATGCGCAGGTCATTTCTTTCAGGATAATGCGCATCCGCTACGATGAGAATGGCAGTAGACTACCGAGCAACGCTTCACACCTCGCCCGAAAGTAATTTTGATCGTTGCACGCACCATACCTTCCCTTTTCTTGCTTATTACTCACTTCTGTATGCAACCTTGAGCGTTCCTTTTACTTCTGCCCTCCCTCTACCTAACATCCTCTGTTCCACTAACCTCTACTCCCCCCTATTCTGCGAATCCCTTTCGCTCTCATCATCTACATCTTCGTGCATATTTCTTCTTCTTCCGCACTTTCGTCTATCTGCATATTCTCTTCTTTCCTCTTCTTCCATCGCCCTGCAATTCCCTCCCATCCCTCCCACCTTGCGCTGGGTACCAGCATGCGCTGGCGATGAGAGCCACGACCCCACCCCCCACCCCCTGGTGACATGAAAATTCTACCCTACCAACGTCAGTGTCATAACTACCTACCCTCATCATTGTATCGATGACCCCACCCTTTGACTACATACCCCCATGTTTGAAAACAAACAAAGACACATAAGTAGGGGTGGGTCCACTCACAGTACCCCTCAAATTTCTTCATGACCCACCCTCGAATTTTCCTTTTTGAACCCACCCCATCGCAAAAGAGTTCCTCCACCCCACCACACTAAGGAAACCGTTTGTACCGGTGTTGCATGTAAGTGTACTGCCTTATTATATTTTGAAATATTATCTAAATGTTTTCTAGAAAGTTTCAAATAAAAATAAATATAAACTGTACGATGTTTTCAGAATTCTGTCATTCCTGGTACAATCCATGTGAAAGGAGATATAAATATTATTTTATTCTCTATTGAACGCAAGTAGTCTCACTGAGTGATTGACGGTCGGGTCGGAGCTCCGGCCCGCCGGGCCCCAGGTGAATTAACGTTAATACGACTAGGGTTTCTTCGGATCTCAACAAATTAACACTAAATAAAGGGTTGACTCGGGGGTTCTTCGGCAGGGGGTAGGGGTGGTAGGATCAGGGTGGTACCAGCTGGAAAGGACTGGTGAAATCAAGCAGAACTTGGTAGAGTACGTGGGGGTGGTAAGTTAGTGTAGGGGTGGGTCAATTCCTGCCGTGATTTTAGTATTCGGGATATATTTATGGGGGTGGGGGTGATGACATAATGGGGTCATCTGCAGCACGTATGGTTGTGTTGGGCTAGGGTAGGGTGAATTAGATGAGGGTGAGGTAGGTACTTGAAATGAGATCGAGGGGTGGGTGGTCATCAGCAGTCTAACCGCCATGCTGGACATTTGCAAGCTCAGTAGAAGGGAGGAGAGGAGGAGGAGAGAGGAGCGGGAAGGTAGAGAGGATGTAGGCAAGAAACCAAGAACGTGTCATAGAAAGAAGGGATGTGACGAGCAAGGAGAAGCACAGAGGGATGAGAAAGAAGAGGATAGCAAAGATCAGGGCCAATGAAGGCACGGCTTTATCAGGTCAGGTCAGCATACAACGAGGCATGTTAGATCCAGTAACAGCAGGATGGGACGAAGAGACGATGAAGGCATGACGAAAGACACATAAAAAGGCAGGTCTAGAAGTGATCAGAGGAGGGGTGGGAATACATGGAAGCGAGGGTCAGGAAGAGGGTGAGGAAGCTGTGAAGGGAGAGGAGGAGAAGCGAAGAGGATGTGTCCTGTAAGAAGATATGAAGATGATGACAAAACGAAAAGAATGAGAAGTGAATTATAACGAAAACAGTGACGCGTACAAAGGTGATGGCAGAGGAATGAGTAGAGCAAAGTTAACTCGAGCGAGTTCCGTTGCGGTGCGGGGGAGCTGGTGATACGACATTGACTGGCACAGGACGAGATGGAGGACAGAACTTTAGTCCAGTCCGTGAGATAGTTGGGATACATCATTGTGCATGCCACTTGGTTCATGCTCGGTCACGTGGAGCATTCCAAATCTCGTGCACGCGAATAGAGCAGAGGTGAAGGGGAGGAGAGGAAAGATGGGATGGCGGGAAGCTGGTTGAAGTAGACAGACAAATGTTCTGAACTTCAGGTCGGTGATAAGACGGAAGTGATGGGAGGAATGAACAATATGAAGGGAGGAAGGAACAAAGACAAAAGTGAAGAGGAAACGAAGTGAAGCGAGGCTGTTTCTTGTTTCGTCTCAACCTTGCGATGTTCCTCCCAATGACGTTCGATATTCTTTCAGGTTCGAGCAATTCTGCAAGTTAGTTCGCATACTGCGAGCCTTGCAAATGGCCTCATCGCTTCATGGCGCCAGCCACTGAGCTCCTTGGTCCTTATCAAGGGCAACGGGCCTAGCGCGCGGATGGTAACGTGATCTGAGCTGTGCTGGGGTCGAGCTGGCTTCTCATGCAGCCTTGCATGAGGCCTTGTCAGTCTCCCGACTCCTCGCTCGCTTCCTCTGCCTTGTCCTGTGCTGTCATGAGGGGCAGACGATGTTGAGCGAGTGTGTCCTTGAGACCGGATCGTCGTCCTAGCGTCCTCTTGCAATGGGCTCGAGCTCGTCCAAAGCTCCCTCCCCGCCGCCAGCTCTTCCGGCGTCTTGTCGGAGGCTCTCCCTGCGCACAAGCACAGCGTGACTTGCATGAAGCTGGTCGGTGAGGGGCTTGAACTGCTGGTGACGGCGTCGGAGGACCGGACTATCAGGATCTGGGACTTCAGCGAGCACAAGAAGTTCGCGAGGTACTGGGAGACGCACGAGGTGCTGGACAAGCTTTCAACGCCTCCTGCCAAGTCCGAGAGGAGATCTGACGCTCTTGTCCACGCGATCCGATGCCCCAGCAGGTTCAACGCGGCTGAAGGACACAGCCACTGGATCAGCTGCGTGGAAGCCGACATGGCGAGCAGCGTCCTGTACAGCGGGTCTCTGGACAAGACGGTGAAGGCGTGGGACATGTACACGGGGAGATGTATGCATACATATAAGGGACACACAGACTGGATCACTAACTTGCACGTGCGGCTCGACACAGTGATCAGCAGCTCGGAGGACGGGAGTCTGCGGTTATGGAGGATCGCAACGTTCTTGGAGGGAGGGGAGGAGGACGGGAAGGAGGAGGTGAAGGAGGATCTCAAGGGATGCTGGCGGAGGGACAGGGGGTTTGCGATCAAGAGCATGATATCGGTGTCTGGCGACAGCTTCTTCTGCGCAGACTCGGATGGCTGCGTGAGCTACTGGGACCTCTCGCGAGGAGCTGAGAAGCACAAGGCGCTGCTGGCAGAGATCCCGACGAGCGTCGGGTCCGCCACGTGCCTTGTCGCTCCCTTCCACGAGCAGGAGAAGGAGGAGATCCGACGGCAGGACCTCAACATCTTCGACCGACCGGCTGCTCGGCCATCGCGGCTCATGATGAAGCATGCGGGGGGGGGAGTCGACAAAGAGCGATCGCCCAGCTGCCTGCATGTCTTTCCTCGTCGGGGGGTCGCTTGGAGCAGAGCTGTGGGAGTTCTGGGGGGGAGGGAGCGCAAGACTGTGCGCGTTCAACGGCCATCAGGGCGCGATCACTTGTATGCAGGTAGGAGGAGGAAAGGGGGAGGGGGAGGGGGAGGGGGGGTGAGAGGAGAAGGAGGCGAGGTTGGGGATGGAGAAGGAGGGGGGACTGCTGCTGCTGCTGGAATCTGAGCCTGATCAGGTTGTGGATGGCACGCTATTCACAGGGTCGGAGGACAAGACAGTGCGAGCATGGTCGCTTGACAGTGGCCTGTGCCTACAGCTCTACCAGGGGCACCTACATGCCGTCCGAGACCTGACGGTCTTTCCCGGAGCAAGGTACCTCTGCAGCGGGAGCGGAGGAGACCTACGGGTATGGGACGTGGAGTCGGGGGATGTGAAACAGGTGCTGGCATGGAAGAGGGTCGACTGCCTCTTGCCGGCCAACAACCTTAGCTCTCTGTTCGCCTCCTTCAGGTGCTTGTTACTGCCCATGCTCCTTGTGCTCTGCTGATGCTGCCGCTAGCGGGCTCGTTCGCTCCTGGGATGCCACTGCCTTCATCCAGGTGAACAAGAAGAAGTCGGTGAGCTGCTGGCCCTCCCTACCACTCAACGCCCCCCCCCCCCTCCCTCCCTCCTCCTCCTCCCTCCCTCCCACGCATCCACCCACCTTCCCTCTCTTTCTCTGTTTTCCTTCCTGCAACCACCTCCCTTCTGCGCTTCCCGATTCCTCTCCCCTCCCTCCTCCTGATGGCTTCCTAGAGCTCCAAGGTCATCCGCCCTCGCGTCATGCTGGAGCAGATGGCCAGCAAGAGGACGGGCGAGAAGGCGCTGGATGCCAAGGAGAATGGGAGTGGTGAGCACACGCGGAAGAGAGACGAGGATGCGAGGATGGGGAGAGAGTGGCTGGCGATGGGAAGAAACAGAAGGAGAGGGAGGGAGGAGGGGAATCGAAGGGGAGAGAAGAGGAAGACGAAGAGGGGGCACGTCCAATTGACAGTCTCGTCAGCTAACGGGGACGAATCAACTGAGAAGCTCCTCGATTATGAACAAAAGTCGTTCAGGTTGTCCGTCAAGATGTCGAGCCGCTGCCCTGAGAGGTGAAGGGACTCGAGGAATTAAGCGAAACTGACAAGACTGAGTAGGAGCACAAGACGGGGAACAGAGATTGTAAATGCTGATTCAATCTTGCACATGTCTATACTGTATATGCGGGCAAACACTTGCTAACATGTTGTATTTATTTGTTGTCAACTCTTCACTATGAAGAAGCCTCATAATTTGTAAGTTACAATCACAAAGCAATGGAATCAAAAAATCGATTTTTAGAGTTTGTGTCCTCCCCTCCTCCTCCCCTCCTCCCTCCCCCCTCCTCCTGGTGCTCCTCCTCGTCCCCCTCGTCCTCCCCTTGCTCCCCCCTCCTCTTCGTCTTCCTCGCGTCCTCGTCTTCGTCCTCCCTTTAAGACAATGCTTGTCACAGGACAGATCGAACAACTCACTCACTGATAACAACTACGTGCGCAGCATACACGACAGCTCAAGATTTCGATGTCCTAACATTCCTGCAACATCAACACCCGCCACCAGCACTTGATTAGATGCGCCACTAGCAGCCCGACTGCACTCTACACTCCTCGACGACCAGGACTGAGAATGGAATGAAATTGCATCAACAAAGATGGTGGCAGAAAACAAGGCAGTAGAGAAAAGATTTGTTTTCTTTACAACTCATCTAGGTAAACACACTTGTTCCAACCCTCCCATTCCATCTCCTCCCTACACTCCCACAGCATCTCAACGCTCTCAAACAGCTCCCCATCACGCCCTGTCACTGCAGCCCCTCCGTACACAGACATGCTGTGCTCCGGCGGGCACCAACTCCCCAGCCCGTCCTCGACGGATAATCCCTTCAGGTACTCCTCGATGTCGACCGGAGCTATCCCCGACGACACGAGGTCATCCAGCACGGCGTCGATCCCGTCCCTCGCTCGCTCCTCCTCGTGTGAGACCGGGGGGGTCGTCCTTGCGCCCTCCATGCCGGGGAAGAACGAGCTCGGTCCCTGCGCCATCTGCTCCACGTCGTCCTCGTCAACGTCAACGTCCTCGTCCTCGTTGTCGTGGTTGTGGGGAGTTCAAAGCATGGCCGTCCTCTGCAGCGAGCTGGCCCCGTGCCCGAGGCCCGCGCGAGAGGCGTCGACGTCCAGCGGCGGCGCTCCGTTAGCGAACGCCTC